TATATATTAATATTATTTTTTTTTTATTTTCTCGAACTGCTGCCTGTCCTTGATTAAACACAAAATGTTAAATTACAACTATTTAAATATTTAGTCAACACCATTTAATAAAATATCTGTTTGCTACCATTTCCTTGTATAAACATATTGACAGCAGCAAAGCAATACATTCGAAATCATTCTGTGCCTAATGAGGATTATTAAAATGTCTAAAAACTCACTCCTTGGATTCACGTGTCCGCTTGGTAACACGTTGTACAAGCGTGTCATAGCCAGATCCCTCTCCTTGACTCTGTGCAAAGGTGCACCTCTCAGTCTCATCCTCTATCACAGATCCCAGAGAGCTCTTGATGTAATGCCTCAGGTACTTCACCAGTTCATAGCTGAAACAAATGTAGTAAATTGTTAAATAAAGTAATCAGACAATTTTACCTTCCATTAATGATAATGGGGATCACATTGTCAAGAATGAATTCCGCATTTACAGGTGAAACAAGTAATGAGAACAATTCAGAAATAAAATACATGATTATCATTTAGCTTGTGGCGCCATCTTCTGGTACATTTGGGAAGTGCAAATGCCAATATCTGTAGCAAATTGAACTAACTAACATTCGCCTTCGGACACACACCATAACGTATTCACGATATAAAGTTGCGCTAAACACGTGGGATCCATAGATTTAGTGTGCACTCACGATACGGTACCACACACTAGTTGCACTGCATTGCCATTAATCCTCAATGGCACCTCTTGGTGGGTATACGTTAAAAGCACCACGCCAAAAGCATTGTGTTGCCCTGCAGTTAAAAAAACAAATGCATGCATTTTTTTTCACTGCACAGCAATGCACCAGATATAATTGTGGTATCGCGTGTTACACAGTGCAACAATGCACACCCACTGGGGCACTATTAGGAACCAACAGCAACGCAATGCAGTACGCCTAGCATGAAGTGCCATGGGCTGTGCAATTGCGCGTGCTACACATGGATCCCATAGGTGTAGCTCAATGCTATAGAGTGAATAGGCTCTGTGAACATTTGACATCCTGTAAAATTTTTATAGTATTAGTATATCTAAAACATACTAGTGGGGGCATCATGAGGGGATCATTTCATGGACACAGCACATATCTGTCACAAGTTGGTCATTAATAGAGCTGCAGCTAACGATTATTTTCAAAATCGATTAGTTAGCCGATTATTAAGTTTGATTAATCGGTTAATCGGATAAATAATAAAATACAATTTAAAAAATGGCTCCAGTGATGGACTACTAGTTTGTATTGAGATTGCACTCCATCACAGGAGCAAGCTTGGAGCGGTGGAAGTAACAAAGAAATAAAATAGTGTGGTGTGCAATATAATGAAAAGGAAAGTGTAAAATTATACAGCAATGAATGCAGAATGGCTCGACTATAGAGGACTACAAATCCCAGCAATATTACATTATACAGCGCAATGCAGAATATCACCAGCTATAGAGGACTACAACAAATCCCAGCAATAGTACATTATAGCTGGAGGTATTCTGCATTGCGCTGTATAATGTATTATTGCTGGGTTTTGTAGTCTACATCTCCCCGCGTCCCTGTGCCGATCGTGGATGTGGGCGGGGGCGGTGAATGTGAGGCGGGGAGGAGGTGCGGCATAAAGAGCGTGGATGCAGGCGGGTCTGGCAGCGGCGAGTGTGAGGTGGGGAGGAGGTGCGGCCCACAGCGTGTGGAGCCGTGAACAGGGCCAACTGATCGGAAGCCGATTAATCGATTATTGAAAAAGTTGACAACTTTTTCAATAATCGATTATGTCGATTAGTTGTTGCAGCCCTAATCATTAGGTAATCCCAAGGACAAAAATGTTATATATCTCCGCTTACCAGTCTTCAATTCTACATTAGTTTCCTTTTTAGGCTTTTTTTCTTTTCCCACCAGTAATACACTTCTTGACCTGGGGTGACAACACTTTCTCACTGTACTGTATCTATGGAGCAGCAGTATTGTCACCGTAGGGCAGAAAGTGTGTTGACTACAGAAAGCCTCCCCCTCTCCAAAACATAGTAGGTAGGTGCTCTGTAGTAGGTATAGTAGGTGTTTGAGATTTGACTGCAATAGAGGCAGAGTACACAGGAAGTTTCCAGCTTGCTGGATTTCTGGAAGGATCAACAGTTTTTTGTTTGTTTGTACCTCTCAAAAACATCTAACAATATGCGTTCAATTCTATATTTAAGTGGGGTAAATCTTCCCCATGGGGTCACAGGCAGCAATAAAAAATTTAACAGAGGGCCTTACCCTTCCCCACTCTGTTCCATAAAAATACACTTTATAAACTGCAAACACTACAATCAGAATGTATGAGCTTACAATGGCTGATTACATGGGGCAGTCAATTCTACTTATTTGTTTAGAAGAACTGCATTTTAAGATAAATACAGTATATGGAAGTTTGACACACATGCGGTAATCATTTTATATTTTTAGTTGAGTACTTTTAGTTGAGTACCTTTTTTTGGATTTAGTTCTCTATTGGGTAAAGTACATTTAGTAATGTCTTCCTGTGCCCAAAATCAACATACAACGGGCAAATAGACCACTATATGCTGACAGTGCAGAGATGCGCTACAGCCAGGAAGGATCCCAACAATATTACTGGGATCTACCACACTGCCTGATTGACAGCTGACTCTGCCTCTCTAGAGGCAGAGACAGCTGTGCCCGCCCCTTCCCTGTCTATCCCTCCAATGAGAGCTGGAGGGATGGAGAGGGGAGGGGGGATTTCTTGTGGGGAGGAATGACTGACAGTCACCGCTCTCGGCAGGGAGAAGATCGTGAACTGATCGATCAGCAGCTTGTGATCGTTCAGTTCTCGATCAATAGAGCCAGCGTGTGAGAGCTGCAGTGTCACAAGCCAGCTGTAGGTATTGGGAAGAGTGCATTTCATTCTATTTATCCTTTTTCGTTTGATTTTCTTCTTTCGACAAGCTTACCTATGTAGGGAGCACACACAGAGCGTAATGCAATGTGGTGCCTGTAAACACATGATGCCAACACTAACCTCTAATGCAGGGTAGGCTGCCTTGGCTCTTCAGCTGTCGCGGAACTACAAATACCATGAATCATTGCAAGCCACACATGACAGCCACAGACAAGGCTCCCAGAGGCAGATGCATGAAGGGATTTGTAGTTTTACCCCAGTTGGCGTGCAGAGGCTGCCTACTTGTGCCCTAATGTCATCAAAGCCTAAACAATTCTCCAGTAAAATGTTGTAAATAAATTCCAGGTGCAGTAACATGGTAAAGGATCAAAGTCTTACAATTTGTTAGGCTGGTAAAGAAGCCACAGCTGTTGTAAAATAGCCTCTCCTCCACCATCATGATGCTGGGAAGGTTCGCTGCTCTCTGTGTGGAAACAATAGTCTGACACGCCCCCTATGCGTCAGAGCTGGAGCTCCTCAATCAGAAGGAAGCGTGAGCTGTATTGATTGAGAGAGATACTGTATGTATAGGGCAACGCACTGTAACGCCACAATGCGCCCTGCATTTTAGTGGCCATTTGTGAAATGCAGCCTGCAGTGTGGAGCATGTGGTGTTCTACAAGGTCTCTCTGCTTACTGCTGCAGATAAACCTATGTGAATGGAGGAGCGCGAAGAGATGATTTAGGTCACATGACCAGACTCTACTCCTGGCTTTTTTTTCATTCATTCGTTTAAACAGCCTTGAAGTGCCAAAGCAAGCGGAGTGCAATGAACTTGTAAAGTACAGCGCTGTGCTTTATAAAATGTGCTGGCAGTTTTTCAAAGCTGTGGAACAGCCACAGTAAAAAAAATCACTGCGTAGCACACATTTACAAATGGAGCTCAATGTGTTAAGTGAGGTTATTGACACATGTGACATACATCATACTTCAATTAAAACCTACACAGAGGTCAATAATTAAGAGCATTGAAAACAATGACACCGAAACAGTGGCATTACTTGTGAAAATGTTCATCGGTCTCCTCAAGGTGCAGCAGGATCTCTTCAGCACATTCAGCAGACGGTGCAGTGGCCAGTTTTTCCTTCACGCTCTGCAGCAGCTGTCTAACCATTGTCTGTAGTGAGACTTCATCATCAACGGAAAAAGTAGCCATTGTCAACAGAGAAATAGCCTTCACCAACAGCTGCAAATCCTCCAAAAGGCCCTAAAACAACAAACGTCATGTAGTTATGAATGAGACATACAACATGTAAATGCAGCAGAGAAGAATTATGCATAATATACCAAATTTTGATTTCAACAAATAGCATGACAGATGTGCAAGATAGACTTTAAAAACACATTTTATATTAGAGAAAAACCTTGGTTGATTGATACTCTGTTTAAGATAACAATAGATCAGGGGTCCCCAAATGGCAAACTGAAGTCCGGATACGGACCGTGATCGCCAACCGGTGCTGGGTCTCCTCCTCAGTCATTGTGTTCCACATCCAGCATGAAGATGGATGGAAGAGTATCATCTTCCATCCTCTTCAGCAGTCCGTAGCCATCTCCTGGCTCCTCCCAGCTCCACCCCCTAGCTCTGTCACCTGGCTACTAGATATCTGGAAAGCCCCATTTTATTGTGTTTTTATGTTTGTATAACTGCTAACTGGTTGGGGACAACCAATGTAAGGAGGCACTCTGAAGGGGACACCTAAATGTAAAGGGGCACCCTGATGGGGACAATCAAGGTAAAGGGGCACCCTGATGGGGACAATCAAGGTAAAGGGGCACCCTGATGGGGACAATCAATGTAAAGGGGCACCCTGATGGGGACACCTAAACGTAAGGGGGCACCCTGATGGAGACAATCAATGTAAAGGGGCACCCTGATGGGGACACCTAAACGTAAAGGGGCACCCTGATGGGGACACCTAAACGTAAAGGGGCACCCTGATGGGGGACACCTAAACGTAAGGGGGCACCCTGATGGGGGACACCTAAACGTAAGGGGGCACCCTGATGGGGGACACCTAAACGTAAGGGGGGCACACTGGGACAGCCAATGCAAGGGGGGCACCCTGGGACAGCCAATGCAAGGGGGGCACCCTGGGACAGCCAATGCAAGGGGGGCACCCTGGGACAGCCAATGCAAGGGGGGCACCCTGGGACAGCCAATGCAAGGGGGGCACCCTGGGACAGCCAATGCAAGGGGGGCACCCTGGGACAGCCAATGCAAGGGGGGCACTCTGGGACAGCCAATGCAAGGGGGGCACTCTGGGACAGCCAATGCAAGGGGGGCACTCTGGGACAGCCAATGCAAGGGGGGCACTCTGGGACAGCCAATGCAAGGGGGGCACTCTGGGACAGCCAATGCAAGGGGGGCACTCTGGGACAGCCAATGCAAGGGGGGCACTCTGGGACAGCCAATGCAAGGGGGGCACTCTGGGACAGCCAATGCAAGGGGGGCACTCTCGGACAGCCAATGCAAGGGGGGCACTCTCGGACAGCCAATGCAAGGGGGGCACTCTAATCAGACAGCCCACTTGGGATTGGCATTCTGATGGGGACAGCCAATTATTAGCTGTCCCACTTGGAGATCACCCTTACATGCTTTGCAACAGATGCGTTAGAGTTGCTCTGACCTCTTTTTCCAGTGCAACTCCAACACTAGACAAGGCAGTTTGCCTTGTTACAAAAGGGCTCAGTTCACACCCCCACCATGTTGTGGTTGTGTGTTGAAAAAAATAAAAAAAGTACTGCTTGTGGGCCTCAACTGCAGCACACTGCGCTGTCTCCATAGAACGTAATGAAATGTCACTCATGATTTCTAACAAAAAAAATAAAGAAAAATAAACAGTATGATGAGCCAGGATTGGTGCATCAGCATTGTGCCTGTGAACAAATGCCAGCAGCTTTGTTAGTATAGCTACTGATGTGAATCCAGCCTAAATCGTGGAATGTGGTACAGGCACTGACTGAGTGACTGTTCTGTCTGGACCTGTGATTCGGACCGCGGCTTGAAAAATAATTTTCACACTGGACTTCCACAAATTTCAATTGACTACCCCTGCAATAGATCCTAGTGTTAAAGATGAATTTTACTGGGAAGCTGTGCCCAAAAAAAAGGCAGGCAGAGGGCAAAGGGCTAGATACCAGTAATGCCTGTGGGCTCCCTGCAGATGATCATTTCCTCATTATTGGTCATGCGTTGTTGTGCATTGTAAAACAAATGGCAAACACACTCATCAATTCATAACTAGCTTAACAGTAAAAGCACATGGAAGGGCTTTACACAGTACAAACACAAAGGTTTCCCAGCACAATTACCAACTAGCTATACAAAAAAAATAAAAAAATTACACTAGCTACAGTGTAGAAGATGTGAGGAGACAGGCTGAAGGGACAGGTCTAGAAGCCAGCTGTGATTACGGTTCAGGTGTATAACTTTGTTATATCCCTAGGCAAAATGAGCACTTACCCCTTGCAGTGGGGGGGTTGAGATTGTTTGCCCGGAGGTCTTCTTTAATTCAGACTTAATGACACATAACCCTAAAGGTGCCCATACACCTTACGACCTTAAGACTTTTGTCTTGCGACGGTCGTAAGCTTCTTAAAAGCTCGTACGATCTGCCAATCTTGGACAGGCAGATCGTACGATTCTCGGCGGGTTTTCAAGCCTGCTTGTTCGACGGAAGACGTGCGTCCGTACAGTAGAAACGGTTGCACGCCTTCTATACACTGTACGATCACGGGATTTCCCGCAATTCTCGTATATAATCGTACAGTGTATGGGCATCTTTAGTTACGCCAATACATGCATCTGCCCTAACACTTGGTAGACATTTTCTGTTAGGGTGAAATACATTATCCAAAACGGAGACAATAGTTTCCTAATACAAAATTAAGGCAGCTCACCCAGAATTCAACAGCAAAACCTCTAGTCACTGCCCAGGAATATTCACTAACACCTTTGTACGGTCTGACATCACTTGGCAGAGCCAGCTGAATGCGACCACCGACACCAATGATCTTTCTAACTTTCCCAATAACTATTACTTATTTTTAGTCTCTTTATAGAATGTAACCAGTGAGTGGGTCCGTTATGCCACTATCTATATAAGGAGGTCCAATTCCCATTGACCATGAATGTAAGGCCTCCTTCTGAAGGCTGCAGTCTCCGCCACCCGCAAAGCAATCAGCATACCCACACGGTTGTGACGTAGACCCATTCATTTCAATTGTCATGTTTGACAAGCAGCACCGGCTGCCAAACACAATATTCTGTATATTTTACAATAACAGCACTAGAGCTGCCGCTAACGATTATTTTCAAAATCGATTAGTTAGCCGATATTGAGTTTGATTAATCGGTAAATCGGATAAAAAATAAAATACATTTTAAAAAATGGCTCCAGTGATGGACTACTAGTTTGTATTGAGATTGTAGTCCATCACAGGAGCAAGCTTGGAGCGGTGGAAGTAAATAAGAAAAAAAAAAGTGTGGTGTACAATATAGTGAAATAAAGTGTAAAATGATATAGCAATGAATGCAGAATGGCATCGGCTATAGAGGACTACAAATCCGAGCAATTGTACATTATACAGCACAATGCAGAATACAACCAGCTACAGAGGAATACAACAAATCCCAGCAATACAATATAGCTGGCGGTATTCTGCATTGCAGTGTATAATGTACTATTGCTGGGTTTTGTAGTCCTCTATAGCTGGTGGTATTCCGCATTGTGCTGTATAATGTATTAATGCAGAATACCACCAGCTATAGAGGGAAACAACAACAAATCTAAGCAATAGTACATTATACATACAGTGTATAATGTACTATTGCTGGGATTTATAGTCCTCTGTATAATATGCAGCACAATTTACCATCAGCTATAGAGGAATACAAATCCCAGCAATACATTATAGAGCACCATTTGGGGGGTTTTTTTTCTGTAGTTTTAAAATATCAAAGGAGCTAAACTGACCTGTATTATTGTACTAGGGCTTGAGTCAATGGGCAAAAGCAGATTGCTTCCAGGTGCATTTAGGATCCATTTGAGACACTTCTGAGATCAGACCTATGCGTTTTGCATGTGGCCATAAGTTATAACAACACCCAGTATGTGTTCATGCTGACACTGTCCTTCATTCTGGATGGTGGAAGGAAGAGTCTGCAGGAGTCAAAACATTGCACTTGCCATCCACTGATGGCAATACTTTACTGACTCCAATGCAAACTAAATAAAATAAATGCACATTTTCTTTATTGAATATGTGTGCATGTATTAATAATAATAATATTTATTTTAAGGCTGACTTTGTCCTTAAAATTAAATCCAAATCAATACAATTTATAAATACATACAATAGAAATACAATATACAAATACAGTACATTAATCCTATAAAAATACATAACACACTCACAGAGTAAGACATTCTAGATCCACCCAGAATAGTATTATAATGTTGAGGGATTCTAGGGATCACTGTCCAATTATTATAATGTTGATGGATTCTAGGGATCACTGTCCATATCCTCAGCCTAGTGAGAATTTTGGCTAGCCGGTGTTCTAGGTCGGTAAATTCGACTGGGTCGGCATTCTCGACAGAACACCAGCATTGCCATCACCTATAGCAGGATCACTGCATTGTACTCGGTAACACTGACAGCGGACACGCCCATACACGTCATCATCTAAGGCCGAGCCAGAAACTGTTTGCTATTGCTATAGTAACAACAAAACTCCATTGCACACTTTCGTCTACCTGTCTATATAAACCTATACATCCTGCATACGTTGCAGTCACTGGATTCTCCCTACGTCCGCTACTAATTCTAATCTACAAGGACCTAGCTCATCAGTGACGTGTAACATTCCCCGGGCTCGCTATCTTCTATCCAGTTAGACACAACACTGAAGTCAGCAATCCACTTTATAATCTGCAATTCCATACACGGGGGCTCTCCATAAAACAAGCCGTATTACAGCCCCTGCCGCAATAGGAAACACTCACTGTGCCCGCTTGTCCGGACTTTCTGTATAGATCCTAATAGAGCCAGCGTGGAGCGCACACCTTACATGGCGCACACAACAATTGGCGGAGCTTACCACCGCCAGTCATGTAATCCTGGCGAGCGTCCAATGAGAAAACTCTCTGTGCTTCTGGCTAATAGAAAGGTCAACCAATCCAGAGTGTGGCTCCG